ATAGAGATATATATATATATATATATATATATATAGACACTTTGAGCTACCCATAAACATTACATGGCAACGGCAGTGATGTAATTTGACATTCTATCATATACTTAATGTAAAAGAAAAATACAGGATGTAACATGGAGTTTTAGTTTCTCTCTTAGTTTCAGCCTGATATAGAGATTGCATGTTCAAAATAATAATAATCTAGAAGGTTCAACATTTTGGGGGGAGGCGTGATAAATAGTGGTGTTGAATTTCAAGTAAAAGGCCCTACTTTGAAAGTAAAAGAAATAAAGAATACATTTGAATATTGTACTTCTAAAAAATTGTTGCTGCATTGGAAGGGTTTCATAGTAATGGAGGCGGTGGGTGCCTCAGTGTTTTGCTTCCCTTCTGCTCTTATCATATCATGTGCTATAGACCAGAGTACTGACTGGCCTCTATAGGATGCACTATGGAAGAGGTGATGCCACCAGATATAGGAGGAAGTGAAACACTAAAGTTCTCCTTTTAGATGTCAGTCACTGTTCATCAGTGCCAATAGCCAGCAGTGGGGACATGGATCAGGGATCAACTGTTTTCACTCGTTTAGCCCGCAGCCTCAACAAGAGAAAACTGAGTCATGTATAGCAGCCTTTAAGCTGAACAGCACAGCAGAAAAAGCAGAAGTGACAATACTTACACTTGGTCGGTCTGCTTCAATCTTGTTTTCAACTTCTCTGAAAAAGAAAGAATAAGTATAACATTAAGCTATAACTACAAATCCACACAAAACACCTGCATTTTCTATTTCTGAGAGTCATTAAATTATTTCAGATATTTTATTATACAATTGACCCATTTTAGTTTTGTACATACCAGTGCATTCTGTTTTTCTTTAAAAAGTATTTTCATAAGTTTGGGTATTCACTATTTAGTGCGGGACTCCAGGCATTAAAAAAAATTAACCGTTGCAGTGGGGTTACCTTTGCGCTGCCGGAGATAACTGCTCATTTTGGTCTAGGGGCTAAAATAAAAAAAATATAGTCACCTGATCCTCAATCCCATTTGGCTGCTGCACCTGTCCCCACAGCCTCTTCTGCCCTGGGCTCCAGTGGTCTAAGCCCCAGTTATGTCATCATTCACTTGCATTAGATTTGAGGATGCTGAGGGACATACCATAACTGGAGTGGAAAGGGAGAGAGGTAAGCACTCACCACTGCAGGACTGAGAACCAGGTGAGTATATCTTCTGAATGCCAGCCCCTAGACCAAAACAGTTAACCCTTGCAGCATGGGGGGTAGCCCCACTGTAAGGGTTAAGGATTAAAATAACTGGAGTTCCTCTTAAAATAGGACCATCACTATTACCGGGTCATGCTTGCTAGAACAAGAGACCCCCCTCTTCATCCTGCTGTTGCGTGCATCTCTTGGCAGGCTGAAGCTTGATCCACTTGTTCTATTACACAATTATTCAATTTGATATTAATATAAATAATACCTAAAGGTGGCTCAACAAGTGACCTTTTCAGGGGAGTTAACAAAATACAAAAAGTTCTACCCTGTGAAGAAAGTCATATTTTACAGTCCATTAGCCCATTTGATGTAGCAGAGCTCTCAGCAGCTATCTGATTCCACAATTCACAGTGTGTAAAAGAGCTTGTCCCCCATTGGCTGCTGTGGTTTGTCCTGACGCCTGCCACATTTCTATTGTTTCCTGCAGTGACTTAGGGTCAGCAGCAGGAACCACATTATCCAGTGTGTGTGTGTGTGGAGGGATGGGGTAGTGCTCACTATTTCACCAAACGGAGAACTTGAATTGGATTGTTGACAGGAACTCTGCTACAGAGTGAAGTTTTAGCAAACACACCTATGGATGGACATGTCCTCCAACCATCATGCCTTTGTTTGTGAGTAAACAGTACAAGGGTAGTAACCCTGAATCCTTCTAGGAATCTAGGGTTAGTGTGTGGTGATCAATGACACCAGTATAAAAATGGGGTAGGCAGAAGTGAGGATATATCCTAACACAAGCTGGCATAATAGGACATCTGGATCAGAAGGATGAGGAGTCCTTCCAACCATCACCCATTATGTTTTTAGGGATGTAGTAGCCACACTGCAAACTTGCCTGACCAATTGTCATATATTTGTTACTAGGAATCATTAGTTGGCCCATAATCCTCAATAGCTAGGGGTAGAAATTCCAGTACTGGTACTGGAATAATAAGGAAGGAATGCAGAAGACAGCTGCTTGATCACAGGTGTGGAACTATCGTCCTGTAGTCAAGTCCCATGAAGACAACACAGTGTGGTCACAATGGCACAGTCAAAACTGTTCAGAGTAGGTAGTAGATTCTGTGAGATGGAGGAGCTTCTAGCGTCCAAACAAGACCGTTTGGACAAATGTGTGAAAATCTGGGCTCCCTGGACGGTGTTTTACTGTAGCACTGAGTGCAACAACATCAAAGCAGCACAGGAGTAGCGGAGAGAGAGAGGGGACTCTTAGGAGGTAGACCAGTCAAGGATGCCGGGGAACCGCCAGGATTAGCTGGTAAGAGAAGGGGGTCTCCTGTGGGGGGAGTGAGGAGCAACTGCTTCTCTCAATACCCGCTAATACTATGTTCATTTCTTTCTAGCGTTACTTCTCTCTTT